TTAGGATCTGTAGGATGCCATAGGAAATACTTCGGAGGACAGCTTTCTCCCTTAGCAACAGCTAAGGCTGAAATCACTGTGATCTGGTCCCAGGGACCAATAGTAGTAGTAATACTGTGAACAGATACCTGGAATAGGGTGAGGGATCTCCCTTGTGGGTCCCAGGCGGACGCTCGCACCAGCTCCTCTGCAGTACCCCTCAACAAGCAGACTCTCCCTCCGACCCAGCTTCCGTCAACTGCCAAGGAGCACTCCAGGTTAGTAGTAGTATCTTCCTAGAACAAGGCACCCAACACCTGCCACGCGTATGGGCCCAGCAAAGTATCAGTGTATCCTAGGCCTCTAGGCCCCTCAGAATCTGCCATGTGCTGAGGATCAGGCCATTTGCCTGCATCACACAGACCTCCTAGGGCGAGGCCCCTAGGGGGAAGAGACCTCTGCACAGTGTCCCCAGACCTTTTATTACCTGACCTGAACCATGCCTCTGAGTCATCCTACTCAGGGATTGGCTAGGGTCAGGTGCATGGTCATAACCTGAGGATGGATCCTCCCTCACTGTATGCCAAGGCTCCCCTTTCCTCAGCAACAGGAGGAGCAATCAATCCAGGAGATTCAGGGACACCTAGAGAATGCAGAGCTCTGTATAATCAGTATCCAGACTGGTTACAGTCCAGGTATCTCTAAATTGAATAGCGACATTTTAGAGGGCGCTACAGTGGTGCAAATCGGTGCGTTGGGCATCCCAAATGAACAGGATATTTTAACGCAACATACGACAGTGCGCATGCGATTTGGCACCACAACCAGGGGTGTCCCTAGCTTTTTTGCTAGGCAGCACAACCAGGGGTGTATGGCCATTACACATATTCCCCGCCCAGCTCTTAGGAACCTGGGATGCCCTGGCTGGAAAGGGGGCGGCAGACACACTGCAAACATTGTACAGCAGAGCAGCTATGCCACTTTGCCTGCCACCCCTCCACAAAGGCTTCAGGCTGCCTCAATACAGGGATGGCCCCGACCACAACAGTGTGAATCCAGGCTCTTTGGGATGTTATGTTATAGGACAGGATGCCATGTGCACATGCTTACATGGAAAATGCATACGCGTAGTGGGGGCACTGAACATTGCCGACCACGACGAGCACCGCGTACATCTCTTCAATGCAAATGTTTTACAAAATGTTTACACAATTGTAATGTTGGATACGTTTTTCGCCGAGGAGGCATCCATCCATGACTCTGAATTTTAGGGCGTGCTTCCTGATTCTTGGAGATCTCTTGATGAGATTCAGCACGAGGGGAGGGAGGAACGTGTCAGACCTCTGCAGAGAGACCACTAGTTCCACACTGAGGCTCCTTCTCTGTACCTTGGGTTTTGGGCAGCTGCTGGGGAGCTATCTGAATGCTATTAGAGATATTAGAATGTATCTTCTTATTGTTGCTTTCTTAAAGTGGAACTACACCCTCCTATCCCTTACAGCCAAAGAAGAAGAAGGTGCCATCTTGGATTGCAGTTGCACATGTGATCAGCTGTGATACCAGCCATTTGAGGGCTTGAAAATTCAGGTAAGAGCTGCAGTAAGCACACTGGCAACATTGACGTTTGGCATGCCTTTAAAGTGAGTTTGGGAGATATTAAATTGGTGGGGCAAGTTCCACATTAAAGCCAAACTTCGTGCTTCTGCCACCCTTCTTGTCCCCAATCCTCCACTATCCTCGAGTCCTCTGGCATGCATTTTGAAAGGGTGATCCATCTTAAAACACCCTGAACCCCCCTACCCACTGCATTTATCTCCTGTTATGTCCATCTCCTGCCACCCATTCCAGCCAGTGTGAGGGGCTAGACACCAAAATACTTCAGTCCAGAGGAGGAGCCGGTTGCACTGTGTGAGACTGAAGGGAAGGACGGAGGTCAGATATGAGACTGAAGGGAAGGACGGAGGTCAGATAGAAGACTGAAGGGAAGGACGGAGGTCAGATAGAAGACTGAAGGGAAGGACGGAGGTCGGATAGAAGACTGAAGGGAAGGACGGAGGTCAGATGGAAGACTGAAGGGAAGGACAGAGGTCAGATAGAAGACTGAAGGGAAGGACGCAGGTCAGTTTTAAAGCGACAGTACATTTTTTACCCATATCTTCCATGCAGAGACATGTAGTTCAATAGAACCTAGACAGCAACTCCATCGGCTGCTACATCTTAGAACCTACGCAGGTTCAAGGTGGATGACGCCAGGAAGCCCAGGAGTATAGAAACGCATTACTTTTCCATTTGTGGCTTCAGTGGTGCGTGAGGCAATAACGATGGAGTCAAATTTTAAACATTAGGGCCCCTGACATTGCCTAATTCAACCCAATCTATCACCGCGCCCCGAAGCTGCACGCTGGGGGATATTCTTTTTTTTTTCTTTCACAATCTACAAGCAATCATTTTTTTTACAAATACAAATAATCATTTAATATATGACAAAGGATTCCCAGAGCACTGTGTTAGCTGCAGAGCACAGCATGTGTTGCCTGACTTGGTGTGGAACTTATCTAAATGAATCCTCGGAGGAGCCGCCTCGACTCAGTCAGCTGTTTGTGTGAATGACAGCTTGAGCTAATTAGATCTGTAAACAGCAGATTCAATATATATATATATATGTGCTGGACATAGCCTGTGCAGAAAGCAGAGAAGCAGAGCTGTGGGAGGGGCCAATCAAGCTCCACCCACTACAGGAAGGATCAGAGACAAGACCAGTCACCCTGCACAAGGAGAGAGAGGAGAAGTGAGCGGACTTTATTACAGGAGGGGGCGGAGACCAGACTAGTCACCCTGAACAAGGAGATAGAGGAGAAGTGAGCGGTCTTTATTACAGGAGGGGGCGGAGACAAGACCAGTCACCCTGCACAAGGAGAGAGAGTAGCAGTGACCGGTCTTTATTACAAGAGGGGGCGGAGACAAGACCAGCCACCCTGCACAAGGAGAGAGAGGGGCAGTGACCGGTCTTTATTACAGGAGGGGCGGAGACAAGACTAGTCACCCTGCACAAGGAGAGAGAGCAGCAGTGACCGGTCTTTATCACAGGAGGGGGCGGAGACAAGACCAGTCACCCTGCACAAGGAGAGAGAGTAGCAGTGACCGGTCTTTATTACAGGAAGCTCCAAGTCTCACACTGAGTGACTGTACAGATCTGGAAGGAATACACAAAGCTCAGCAAGACTCCAGAAGAATACACAGGACTCTGGGATAACCTGGACACATGCGTTTTAGGTCATTATAAAGCGCACGGTAAAACCCAATCAGTGCAAAGTGCATAATGGAGGATTGCAGTGAGAGGAACTCCGCCATGATGGATGACCAATCAGCTGAGAATCAGAGTTCTGCTTTAGAATAAAATACGATGGACGTTGTTACATTTCGATACATTGCGATTATAAGTCCACCGATGGCGGTGATGAGCACAATCTGCGATCCTGCCTCCGGGGACGGAGGGGAGCGCGCGGTTGGGGACGGCGATGTCATTACAGTGGGGTTGTCAGGTCAGCACAGGGGCGGAGGGAAGGAGATGAGTGACGGAGCCTGCAGGTTAATACGGGGGGGAACGCTCCACAAATGACATGGAGATTGGAGAGCGCGCCGCAGACGGCGGCGAGGGCGAGAGGACGGCGACGGCGAGACGACAAACCAATGAGGCTATAGAGCGGCAGGTGACATCAAAATATATCTCTGTCTGTGAAATTCGTGAGGACGAGCAAAAGTGAGAGTTCTCATTTCACCAAATTTGTCCACTGAAGTCAACAGTGAAGGCGCAATTAATAAATGAATACGTTTCTTCCGCCTATGCTTTGATTTGCCTGGTCCCCCCCCATCGATATAATGACATTTTTAATAAAAACCTTTTCAATTTCATGACATTATTTTAGACCTGTGCCTCTCACGCAATGCAGGCAGATCAAAGCTGGTGGGAGGGGCCGGCACTGTGCTGTACATGGCTCCCTGAAATCATTACACCACCCTGCCTCAAGATCCCTTTGCTCTAATGCAAGCAGTGGGCCGGCTCCTATTATGCAAATATCAAAAAGCCTTGATGGGTGGGTGACATGCAGGAAGGGTGGGCATTCCAAGGCCATATGTATGTATTTCCTATGATCCTCCCCCATCTAGTGGCCATATGTACGTATCTCCTATGCTCCTCCCCCATCTAGTGGCCATATGTATATATTTCCTATGCTCCTCAGCCCCATCTAGTGGCCATATGTATGTATTTCCTATGATCCTCCCCCATCTAGTGGCCATATGTATGTATTTCCTATGCTCCTCAGCGCCATCTAGTGGCCATATGTATATATTTCCTATGCTCCTCCCCCATCTAGTGGCCATATGTATATATTTGCTATGCTCCTCCCACATCTAGTGGCCATATGTATATATTTCCTATGCTCCTCCCACATCTAGTGTCCATATGTATATATTTCCTATGCTCCTCCTCCATCTAGTGGTCATAGGTATATATTTCCTATGCTCCTCCTCCATCTAGTGGTCATATGTATATATTTCCTATGCTCCTCCCCCATCTAGGTCATATGTATATATTTCCTATGCTCCTCCCCCATCTAGTGGCCATATGTATATATTTCCTATGCTCCTCCTCCATCTAGTGGCCATATGTATGTATTTCCTATGCTCCTCCTCCATCTAGTGGCCATATGTATATATTTCCTATGCTCTTCCTCCATCTAGTGGCCATATGTACATATCTCCTATGCTCCGCCTCCATCTAGTGGCCATATGTATATATTTCCTATGCTCCTCCCACATCTAGTGGCCATATGTATATATTTCCTATGCTCCTCCTCCATCTAGTGGTCATATGTATGTATTTCCTATGCTCCTCCTCCATCTAGTGGCCATATGTATATATTTCCTATGCTCCTCCCCCATCTAGTGGCCATATGTATATATACAGACCGGACGGTTCCCGCTGTTGCCATTACATCAGCAATGGTTGCAGTCCTTACCTGTTGTAACGGGGAAGAGAACTGGATCTCCTGCAGGCGGAAGGCGGATCTACACTGCAGAGTGAGGTTCAGAATGACCCCCAGGGAGCCCAGGTGCAGACGGGCCGCCTGGAAGATGTCGGCGTTCACCGACTCCGAACACTCCAGAATTTCCCCCGACGCCGTCATCATTGTCAGCGACAACACCTGCAGAAAAAACCATGGACAATAATCACCCGATGCCCCACTCTCATGTACCTTCAAACGTCTGTATAATCCTGGGGTACCCCCAAAGTCCCAGGAACCCCACAATCTGCAAAGCTTCAGCACTTCCTGGTACACGAGCGATGAAGGTCCTTCCCTCCCCACCACCCATAACTCCCTACTGGCCCCGCTATTTCATGAGTACCTTCTCTGGCCAATAGGGTAGAGCAGGTGGCAGGAAGGGGCGGACCAGAATTTCCTGTGCTCTTCAGCACCATCTAGTGGCCATATGTATATATTTCCTATGCTCCTCCCACATCTAGTGTCCATATGTATATATTTCCTATGCTCCTCCCCCATCTAGTGGCCATATGTATATATTTCCTATGCTCATCAGCTCCATCTAGTGGTCATATGTATATATTTCCTATGCTCCTCCCCCATCTAGTGGCCATATGTATATATTTCCTATGCTCCTCCTCCATCTAGTGGCCATATGTATATATTTCCTATGCTCCTCCCCCATCTAGTGGCCATATGTATATATTTCCTATGCTCCTCCCCCATCTAGTGGTCATATGTATATATTTCCTATGCTCCTCCCCCATCTAGTGGCCATATGTATATATTTCCTATGCTCCTCCCCCATCTAGTGGCCATATGTATATATTTCCTATGCTCCTCCCCCATCTAGTGGCCATATGTATATATTTCCTATGCTCCTCCCCCATCTAGTGGCCATATGTATATATTTCCTATGCTCCTCCCCCATCTAGTGGCCATATGTATATATTTCCTATGCTCCTCCCCCATCTAGTGGCCATATGTATATATTTCCTATGCTCCTCCCCCATCTAGTGGCCATATGTATATATTTCCTATGCTCCTCCCCCATCTAGTGGCCATATGTATATATTTCCTATGCTCCTCCCCCATCTAGTGGCCATATGTATATATTTCCTATGCTCCTCCCCCATCTAGTGGCCATATGTATATATTTCCTATGCTCCTCCCCCATCTAGTGGCCATATGTATATATTTCCTATGCTCCTCCCCCATCTAGTGGCCATATGTATATATTTCCTATGCTCCTCCCCATCTAGTGGCCATATGTATATATTTCCTATGCTCCTCCCCCATCTAGTGGCCATATGTATATATTTCCTATGCTCCTCAGCTCCATCTAGTGGCCATAATGCATATATCTAGTATGCTCCTCCCCCATCTAGTGGCCATATGTATATATTTCCTATGCTCCTCCCCCATCTAGTGGCCATATGTATATATTTCCTATGCTCCTCAGCTCCATCTAGTGGCCATAATGCATATATCTAGTATGCTCCTCCCCCATCTAGGGGCCATGTGTATATATTTCCTATGCTCCTCCCCCATCTAGTGGCCATATGTATATATTTCCTATGCTCCTCCCCCATCTAGTGGTCATATGTATATATTTCCTTTGCCCCTCCCCCATCTAGTGGCCATATGTATATATTTCCTATGCCCCTCCCCCATCTAGTGGTCATATATATATATTTCCTATGCTCCTCCCCATCTAGTGGTCATAGGTATATATTTCCTATGCTCCTCCCACATCTAGTGGCCATATGTATATATTTCCTATGCTCCTCAGCTCCATCTAGTGGTCATATGTATATATTTCCTATGCTCCTCAGATCCATCTAGGGGCTATGTGTATATATTTCCTATGCTCCTCCCCCATCTAGTGGTCATATGTATATATTTCCTTTGCCCCTCCCCCATCTAGTGGCCATATGTATATATTTCCTATGCCCCTCCCCCATCTAGTGGTCATATATATATATTTCCTATGCTCCTCCCCATCTAGTGGTCATAGGTATATATTTCCTATGCTCCTCCCACATCTAGTGGCCATATGTATATATTTCCTATGCTCCTCAGCTCCATCTAGTGGTCATATGTATATATTTCCTATGCTCCTCAGATCCATCTAGGGGCTATGTGTATATATTTCCTATGCTCCTCCCCCATCTAGTGGTCATATGTATATATTTCCTATGCTCCTCCTCCATCTAGCGGCCATGTGTATATATCTAGTATGCTCCTCCCCCATCTAGTGGCCATATGTATATATTTCCTATGCTCCTCCCCCATCTAGTGGTCATATGTATATATTTCCTATGCTCCTCCCCATCTAGTGGTCATATGTATATATTTCATATGCTCCTCCCCATCTAGTGGTCATATGTATATATTTCCTATGCTCCTCAGCTCCATCTAGCGGCCATATGTATATATTTCCTATGCTCCTCCCCCATCTAGTGGTCATATGTATATATTTCCTATGCTCCTCCCCCATCTAGTGGCCATATGTATATATTTCCTATGCTCGGCGCCATCTAGTGGCCATAAGTGGGAAATCCATCCATCAGAATTGTAACAATAAATAAACATTTCTCATACCTGAGTCGGCAGGATGCCGTGACTGATCCCGGTATTGTGAGTCCCCGTTCCAATGACGCCGGCCGCCGCCACCTCTGACACCGCGCCGATGCTGCAAGACACAGGGACACCGATGTACAAAACCCCTTCATTGCCATTACACCCCCCAGCTATACATTGAGTCCCCATACATTGTTACATTGTTTCGTTCCTCACACCCGAGTACCCGGAGTCGGGGTGAACCTTCCTGGGATCCTCGGGGGTGTGGCTTGTTGTGCAGCATTGAGACACTTCGTCTTCTCGCTCCACAACGAGACGTTTGGGAGTCTGGAGGTCGGTGACGCCGATACATTGTCCGGAGATACATTGTGTCATGTGACTACTGATGGAGCTGCGTCGTCAATGATTTCATATGTAACATGTTTGTAGCCGGGAGGGTCCAACACGGCAACTGTCCAGGACTGGAGCTTAGGAGTCTACTCCGGCCATGTCTAAAGGATCCGTGCGCATGTGTATCTCCCCGATGTCTAATCTTCACATCTACATTGTATCTCTTCTAAATAGACTTTCAGAACCTTCACCGTGACCAGAGGCGGTGTGACCAGACAGGGGTGACAACACCGCTCCTCTATACATGTCGTACAGTGTGCGTTGTCACCCGAGCACAGGAAGTGCGTCACTGGCAGGATCACCAGCTGGAAATAAGGGAAGAAGAACTAACTCGGACGCCACGTGTATATACTGGAAAGCTGCAACGTGAGTTTAGATCCAGCGGAGGAGAAATCTGCTCCTAGGTGACCTCAATCAGCTAACGAGTTCCCAGCCCGTCCGGGTGACCCCGGCTACAAACACGCCGGAGATCGTCAATCAGCTTTATCGACAGCACAGATATTTCTAAATCCATACATGTGAGGAAAAAAATAATATTAACATCGCGAGGGATTTAAAGGGAAACAATAGAATATTTTATGTAATTATGTAGAGTTCCCATTGTGATGCATTAAAAAAAAAATGCCATAATTATTATTTTAGAGCCATTTTAAATGGGACAAATATAATTCATATTGTATTTAAATTTATATTAATTAATTATAGTAATTAAAAAAATTAACTGATAAAATAAATTTTTTATTTATTATTTTTATTACTT